CACTCCAAGGGAGGGGAGGTTCTCAAGGAGAAATATTGTGGTTACATTTTTAGCTGGCGTCAGGAAGACCTGGGGATTTTGCCTTGGCCCTTGATTTGCTCATTGTGTGATCCTGGGCAAGTTATTTAAGTCTCTCAGTTTCAGTTCGTCGGCAAAATGGGAAAAATAATAGGGTTATGGGAATCACAGTTTTGAAAGGGTTTAGCATAAGACTGGCACCATATTCTGTACTCAATGAAAGGTACCTCTTAGTATTATTATTGAAAATTAAAAGGAGGTATAATACCTTCAGGGACCAGTACAGATATGTAGAGAATCCTTTACATAACTCAAATTTTTCAAGAATTTAAGCAGAAGCTGGAAGGAGAAGTATGTTATACCAGCACAGACTTTTAAGGAACAGGGTCAAAAAAGCTGATATTCAAGAACTGAGTCTTGCAAAAAAGTGCTTTGACCAGCAAAAAGGACTTTAGTTTTTGTACTTCTGTTTGAAATGAGAAAAACCTAGGTTCCCTTGTTTGGACAGAGTTAATCAATGGCAGAGAGAAAGCAAAATTTACCCGAGTTCTATTACGCTTCCATCTCAGAAAGAATGGTTATCTGATCAGGAAGATTATCACACAGGCGTTACAGGATTGAAGCCATGTTTTCAGATCTCCTGGTCTACAAGTACTGTGCCCCAGAATCCCAGGCAAATTGGCCGATGAGATTCATGAGGCTGACGTCAGAAATCTTTGAGGGAATGAGAGAGGGGTGTTGGCAGACTGAAAGCACTCAGAAGTTTCAAGATGCAAAAAGCATGTTAACTCTCTAGACAAGTAAGCTTGGTGTCAACTCTCAGAGAGAACTCTGGACTAGGTCACTCCGCAAGTAGGCTGTGGATACTCGTGACAGGGAACAGCCCTGAGGGTCAGCATGGGCTCATGCACAGTCAGACCTGCCTGGCCGTCCTCACTGCCCTTTTAGAAATAAGCTGCCTATTTCTACCTGTTAGACAAAGGAAGTACAGTAGACCTTACATAGGTGGGGTTTGGTAAGACATTTTGAGAATATCTTCTGATAATCATCATTAGCAAGACGGAAATGTCCACAGAGCACCCAGGAGGGCGGGGGGCTTGGTGATGGGAGGGTTGTGTCGGCTCACCATTGGCTGGGTGAGCGTACCCAAAGAGTGATGATGTCAGTCTGTCAGCATGTTTGCCTGGCCCTGTCCCGCTCGCTGTGTAGTCAGAGCCTGGATGAGAACATCGATGGCAGTTTATCAGTTTTGTCAGTGATGTGAAGTCAGAAGGGAATGCTGATATGATATATGCCAGAGTCAGGTTTCAGAAATATCCGGGCTGCTTAAAACACTAGCCAGACAAGGCAGGGTTCCGCTGTTAGCTCCAGATAGTCCACAGCACCCACGAGGTGGGGCGGAGAGGTCTAAGTGCAGCCCAAGGGAGAAAGCCTGAGGGGAGCTGGCTGATGGGGGGAGCCAGTGTGAGTCGGTAGTGTGCTAAGGTTGCAAAGAATGGGCACTCGTATGACAGTTGTAGTAGAAATAAGACACCCCAAATAAAAACTCATAGTCCCTCTGTGATCTGTGCTGGTGAGGCCACATAGTATGTTTGTTTCCACATGCAACCCTTCACTCTGGACACAACAGCCTGGCTTTACAAGCTGAATGAATTCGTAGGAGGCTGACATGGATGGATGGAAGATTCCAGAACTTTGTCTTAAAAATATAGTTGAAAGTCGGAGCCACAAATTCTGGAAAAGAGAAACCGTTGATGGGCAGTGAGAGCAGCTTCAGGGGTTTGAAAGGCGCTCTCGGGTTGTCACGGAGGGTGGATGAGGCCAACGGGGAGGCCCCGCCTGCCTCTCCCCCAGCAGAACAGCGTCCCCCTGGGTTTTCACTGGCCTGTAGTCAGACTTCCCAGAGCACCAGCTCAGGGAAGCAGAGCACCAGGGCCCACAGTGTCTGCTCAGGGAAGCAGGCGCCCTTTCAAGACCCATCTCAGAAGCCCCCTGTCTCAAGCTCAGGGCAAAGGGGGACTGACTTGGCCAGAGGCAGTCGGATTATGGGCCCAGGGTAAAGGCAAACAAGTCTGTATTAAACTCTCAGCATTCTTGCCAGAGGAGCGGATATAGCATCCTGTTAATGCATTCCAGATATATTTTGAGCACCTAATGCATCCCAGGCTCCGTTAGGTGCTTAGCTTGGGTCATCTCATTTAATCCTATAACAAACGGATATTGTTATTTATTTCCATCAAAAGGATATGGAAGCTTAGGGAAAGGTTAAATCTTGTGCCCGAGCCAGTGCTATTGGTCACTCTGCCTCCTGGGGCAGTAGGTCATCCTTCATTGCCCGGCAGCGCATCCCTAACAGTTCCAGTGGGTGTGGACCGTGACTCCCTGGGCGCCCTTCTCCCATCCAACCCTCAGCCCCTGCCTTCCCCTCCATTGGGGACTCGGGGGGTGGGGTGGGGGGGAACAGCCCAGCTGAAAAATCAGGCCATGCTGGTGAGCACACTACTGATTTTTTTATGACTAAGATTAAGCTGACAACCATGCAAAACATTGCAAACCTGTGTCGGCTGCAGATTTAATACCTCACCCAGCCCACACAAATAATTCATGCTTCTGCATCGATGTCCAGAAAAAACAAATCAGCAAAAAGCTGGGCTCCTGCGTTGTGTGGAGCAGCCGCATTTCCATCGAAGCAGCATGCCGGAAATACCCAAGCTTCAGGACTGCAGATCCAGCGTTTTGCAATTTTTTTTCCTCTTAAAAGATTAAAGTATGCTTTCAGATGATTGAAGGTTGGTGGGAGGTGTAAATGTGGGCACTTGTCACATTAATTCTTCAGATGATTAAGTTCTTTTCCATTTCTTTAAAGCTGTTTGCAGTTGGGTTTGATGTCCTCGTTCTGGGTGAGTGTGTTGTAGCAGTTACCAAGGTGACTTTAGCTGACTTTCAACAATTTATTTTTCCCTCCAGCTTGAGATGTCTCTAGTCCTGTGTGCTGTTGATTCTTCTCTCCCAGCCCCCCACCCTCACCCCGGTCGCTATTCATCAGCATTTTTGCCTGTGCCAGAGAGGTGAGGACCCTCCCTCCAGCCGCCCCGGAGGCCCAGAGGCCCTGCCTGGCAGCCCGATAGTGTGCCTGTGTGGACCTTTGTCAGAGAGGGCACAGGGAAGCAGTTGTGGGGATCGCGCCCGGGCTCTCCCACTTAAACTCATTCTGTGACCCTAGGCTCGTCACCTCCCGTCTCTGAGCCTCAATTTCCTCATCTGTAAAAGAATCTACCTGGGGTGCTTGATGCGAAGGCTCAGCAAGTACATTAGGGACTCCTCGCGGTGGAGCGGTGGAGCAGTGGAGCGGAGCAGAGGCTCAACGAGGGGAAGTGTTGTCTCCCCGGAGCTCCGCCCTTGTCTGGGCGCAGGCTGAGAGGTGGCAGTCGGTGTCGCTCTCCTTTCCTGGGAAGTAGGGCAGGAGGCCTCGCAGCCAGGCATGAGGGAGAGATCTGGTCGGAGGCCCTAGGCCCCGCACTGGACTGCCACGGACCAGCTCTGTGTCCCGAGATGCATTACTGGGTCTGTTTGGTAATGGAACATCATAGATTAAACAACTTGAATTTCCTTTCAGTGCTGAAATTCGGTGGCCCTCTTGGCCAGAGCATTTCTGTCTTTCTCAGGTCTTGTGAAAGGGTTTGTCAAAGGAGAAGCTAGAGCAAAGGGCAGTTTCAGAACTGGTATAGGGAAGGAAACCAGAGGAAGGGAATGCTTTGTGAAAGAGCACTCATGTACATCTGGGGGTGGATCCACCCAGCTAGTGGGAAGGGTCCCCCTTCCCTCCGGGGCTGGTATAAGCCAAAGCTTAAGTGGGCCCCCCACCCTGCTGCCTGCTGATCTCGCCCCCCTCTGGGGAGGGCCCCTGCCTCACAGGGCGCCTCACTGGCCCCAGGCCCCAGTGCTCAGCCTTCCAGTGTGTGAGGTTGGGCTGGCCCCTTGCTGGCTGTCCACTCGTCGGGCCCAGACATCTTGGGTGGCTTTGGCCACTTGAATTATAAATAACTAAAGCTTCTCACCCAGTATTTTGATGGACACTGGAGAATTGTTCTGAGATTCACAGCCCAAACCAGGATCCGGCCTTTTGAATAGGATCAGTGGGTAACCCTCATTTCTGGCTGAGACAGATTTGAGAGGTTTCAGTGGGGGCAGTTGAATTTGAAAAAAACAAATCTTGCATTGCGAAGGGACCCTGTGGCCGAGCTGTGGGACAGGCTGTCTGAGGGAAGCAGGACGGGAGGGGGTGTGAGGCAGCAGTGAGAAGGCTCTGCAGCCCGTCTGGCCCTTGGTCTGACTCCCGAGAGCCGGGTCTTCACCCCCTCACTGAGGATTGCATCGGTCCCTGGTTCGATGGAGGGGGTGTGTGTCGCTGCGGTCCTGGCCCTCAGCAGGTGCGTGCAGGCTTAGGGCCTGCTCTGATGCCACAGCCTTGTCAGGGTCAGCTGGAAGGATGCTCTTGGAGTCATGTCTCCTGGTTTTCTAGGACCCCAGCCTTGGAGAGCTCAGTCTGAGGATCCAGGGCGGGAGCAGAAGGACCCTCTGGAGCTCCTGCTGCTGTCATAGGGGAGAACAAATCGCTGTAATGTAAACATGTATATAATGTGTTGGCCAAAGACGTGGGTTTTAGAACCAGATCACCCCGTGATCACATCCCAGCTCCACAGTCCCCGGCCGTGCAGCCTGTACAAGTTGCTGCCCCCGCCCCGCCCCGGGTCCTCAGTTCTTCATCTGTAAAAGGGATAGAAGGATACTGCGCACCTCATGGGGGTGTTGTGAGGTTGCCTGGCAAGTTCTTAGAGAATGAAGGCTGTTTTTATCATTATCATCAATCACTGTCATTGTCATTGTTCAGGCTCCAGGCCTGGGAGACGCCCATCTAGCTTGTCCCTGCTGTCTCCGGAGCCTGTTCCTCTGCTGAACCTGTCCCTGTACTTGCTTCACAGGAGCCGCAAAGACAGCCTGGAAAGCGACAGTTCCACGGCCATTATTCCCCACGAGCTGATCCGCACACGGCAACTCGAGAGTGTACATCTGAAATTCAACCAAGAGTCAGGAGCCCTCATTCCTCTGTGCCTAAGGTGAGCCCCACAGCACCCAGATGGGCCTCAAGGAGCCACCGCACCCACGCTTGCCGTCTCCCCCGCCGCCCCCGCACCCAGTTGGAGTCTGGGGCCCAGGGAGGGAGGAGAACTATGCAGGCGGCTCCGTGGGAGCCTGTGGACTCTGAGCCAGCCAGTAGCCCCCATGTGCTGAAGAACTCCCCTTTGTCCCTCAGCCCTGCTCCCTTACGGAGGTTCAGTGGCCCAGGGTCCCCATAGCGCTGGAGCAGCAGGGCAGGGGCTCTGGCTGATTGCGCTCTGCTTTCTCCTGCCTGCTGCTTTTCCCATGCAAAATACTCAGTGCCTCAAACCCACTGGCCAGCCCAGCAGACTCCTTGAGGGACCAGGAAGCCCAGCTGCGTCCCCTCTGCTGCTGTCCACAGTGCCAGAAACTCCGCCCTGTGGCCAGAATTCAGCCCTCTGCTCAGGGGCGCCACACTGGGCCAAACCATCGCAGCTGGCTTCCTCTGCGGCTCTCAGGGGTGACCCGTCATTTTATTGCAGGGGAGGCAATAAGAATAACTGGAAATTCAGACAACAGTGACAAGGAAGAAAGGGCAGGGGAAGAGGGACCCCCAAAAGCTCCTGCTGTTACCATAGAGAAGGACAAGTCACTGTGATGTAAATGTTTGTATAGTGTGTTGACCAAAGATGTAGGCTTTAGAACCAGATCTGCACTGGTTTGGACCCTCCACACTGTCCCTGGAGCAGGGGAAGGAGCATGGATGGTGACCCGCCCCCTTGACCAGCCACCCTGGTCAGCAGGGCAAAGATGGCTAGTGGCCAGGGTGAGTGGTGGCTGGCAGGCCCCCAGCCTCCCAACCCAGGACCCCAGCTGCTTCCTCCGCAGCTCCCTCTTTGAGCCGGGCTCAGGGCCTTTAGACTAGAGAAGGGTCAACCTGGGGCAGCCTGAGAAAACAGAGAGCAACTTTTCTTCCTTTGCAGACCGGTCTCTCTGCTCCATTGGGTGCTCCTGCCTGCCCTTCCCATGTGTATTTCCAGACTGAGGATTAGCATTAACTTCCTGAGGCTCCCTCAGTGACCCTACTTGGCTTCAGCTTTTGTTTTCTTGTTTTTGTTTTTGTTGTTTTTTTTTTAAAAGATGTGCTTTTAAAAGGTGTGGGGCCAGTCATATTCAAATCTTACGGGTTGGTGGGTGCAGGAGCAGGTGGAAGACTCTGGGCACAGGATTCGTGCCTCGAAGGCACTCCGCCATCATCCAGGGACATGGGAAATTAGGAACTACTTCCCTCGTCATCTCTACAAAGGGGCCATGACGCCCCGCACCCCAGCCTTAGCTCTGGGCGTGACCTTGGGCACATCACTAGCTGCCCTCCCTGGCCTCACCAGGACACGAGGGAGGCGGACTCGACCAGCTCTGCAGACCCTTTGCATGCTGACCCAGCATCTCTGCTAGCTTTCAGCACTTGGGAACCAGGCCAGGGGTGAGCTTGTGAGAGGCTTCTCTTGGCAGGTGGTGAAATGAACACGTTGAGTTACAGTCCCCCGTTCACGGGCCCATGGGCAGCCAGGAGGGCATTGGCCAGGCTTCCTGTCCCAGGGAGCACAGTCCCCGCGGCCCCTGCACCTTGTCCAGACCTGCTGCTCACTGTCTCCATGTTCCCACCCCCAGGGGCAGGCTCCTGCATGGACGGCACTTTACATATAAAAGTATCACAGGTGACATGGCCATCACGTTCGTCTCTACGGGAGTGGAAGGCGCCTTTGCCACTGAGGAGCACCCTTACGCAGCTCATGGACCCTGGTTACAAGTGAGAAGGCTCTTTTTCTTCTCCTCACCTCCTTTCTATGGGCTCTTCCCAACCCCATCCCTCCCTTCTCCTCCCTTGGCAGCTCTTGGTGGCTCCCTTTCTGAGGGCTGGTTATGAGAAGCCGTGTGGAGTGTGGCTGCTGCTGCCTGTCCTGTCAGCTCCAGGAGCACTTCCTGGCCTCTGCTATCACTTGGGACACGAGTGATAACTCCTAGGCTCTGGCCATGAGTAGTTCTGTTTGCCGTGGAAATCCAGGTTTGAGGGATGCCCCGGAGAAGCAGAGGTACAGGAAACCGAGGGTGAAGCGGAACAGGAGGGCGTGTGAAGCCTCTCTTGAGCGCCTGTATGGAAATCCCACCAGATTTCCTAGAAAGTGGGCACGTGGACCTCGGGCTGGGATGGGCAGGCCTCAGCAGGAAGAGCTCCCCCTTCCCCTCACCCAGTGGTTCTCCCATTCCTCCTGATGGAAACCCAACTTCTCTGCACAGAAACTCCTGGCTTGTTCAGAACACTTAGTTCCCCTTTGCTCTTCTGGCTGGAGCACAGCTTCAGAGCCACTGCCAAGTGGGGTGCTGGGGCCTGAAAACCAGAGGCCTCCTTCCAGCCCCCACCCTGTTCCAGGCCTCATAGGTACTTGGCCTGGTCCAGCGTACTCCCAAATGTATTAGAGGAACAACACCCTTTTTTGTTTGTTTGTTGGGGGTGCAGGAGGAGGAACACACTACCTGACCTCTCTAAACTCAGGGCACCTGGGGTGGGTGGAGGTGGAAGAGGGTGCATAGGGGTGTGAAATGGTAATGGAAAAAATAGTGTGATTAAGTTTTTTTTTAAAGGGGCACCTGGGCCCTAGCTGGTGTGGCTCAATGGATTGAGCACTGGCCTGTGAACCGAAAGGTCACTGGTTTGATTCCCAGTCAGGGCACATGCTTGGGTTGTGGGCCAGGTTTCCAGCTGCGAGCATGCAAGAGGCAATCAATTGTTGTACCTCTCACTGTTCCTTCTCTCCCTCTTTTTCTCCCTCCCTTCCCCTCTCTCTAAAAGTAAAATAAATAAAATCTTTAAAAAAAAAAAAAGAAAGAAAGAAAGAAAGAAAGGGAATCTGGTCCTGGCTGGGTTGCTCAGTTGGTTAGTATGTCGTCCCATACACCAAAGGGTTGCAGGTTCAATTCCCAGTCAGAACACATATCTAGGTGGTAGGTTCAATTCCTGTTTGGAGCATGTGCAAGAGGCAACTGATCAATTTTTCTCTCTCACATTGGTGTTTCTCTTTCCCCCCACCCCTTACCTCTCCTAAAATCAATTTAAAAAAAGAAAAAGCATATCCTCAGGTGAGAATCAAAAATTTCTTTTCTTAATTTAAAAAAAAATTTTAAAAACTGTTCAGGAATCTGACCCTAATCCAAAAGGTGATCTGCTTTGCTTGTGGTGTATGGGTAGGTGGCGGGGGGGGGGGGGAGGCGCGGGGGGATGGGGTGGGGGGGGGATTACAGCAGCGGGGAGAAGAGTTATGTGTGTTTAACCCGGGGGTCTGTGAAGCCTATATACTGTTACCATGGGCATGCCTTTTTGTCTGCATGTGTGTGTTGTCTTGCAGCTGAATTTCTCTTCCTTTAGGCCGTAGTCCCTCCCCCTCCCCCTAAAATACAAACCCTTAATTAAAACAAACAGCAAACAGAGGACCCCAACCACACTCCCCAGACTCAGCCAAGGTAGAAATGGAAGCTGGTGCTTTAGGGATATTGTGTTCCATAAATTATCTTGCCTTTTTCCATTGTTGTTATTACACTGTTTCATAACAAAATTACTTTGAACCATAAAGTTATAAATATATTTTAAAACTCCCTCTTGGTAACATTAGATTTCTGTCCATGTGGTGTTGGTAGTTACTGTAGCAAAAGCTCTTAAGTGTAACATTTGAAATTAGCCCAGCACTAGTGGAAAGGGCCTCCCCGCCCCACCCCCAGCCATGTCCCAGGCCACCCAGCCGCCTCTGTGGACAGCAGGCAGGGAGCGGACCTCTTGCCTGGGCAGAGCTAGTAAAGAGAGGGAAGGTGGGGACCACACAGGAGACCCCAGCCCCTGAGAGTTCACAGGTTGTCATTCCCAGTAGATGACTGAGTACTGACAGGTCTCCACAGGAGTGTCCTCAGGTAACATTTGTGTGTATTTAAGGTTCAAGCACATTTTCTTGGGAAAGTCAGGACTGGGGTCTCCCAAAACTCAAGAAATACTCTCCCGCCCACTGGTTACGTTTTACATCCTCAACTCTGAACCTCTTTTTGGAGTCTGGTCTCCGCCTTGGAACATCCTCTTGCCCTGAGGAGGGGGTTGGGCAACATTTCCACTTCTCAGCAGCGTGGGGACCTTGGCCCCCGGAGGGCTCAGCAGATGTCATGTTGCCCCTCAGTCCCCCTCAAAGTTCTGGACCCAACCCAAGTTCCCAAGCTTCTTATCCCCGGCTGCTGGTGTTCTAGCCCAGCTCTGCTCCCCCGCCGTGCCAGCAGCCCCTCAGTGAGCTCGAGCGCTAGGGCACCGCTGACTCCCATGCACACGGTCCCCTCCCGTGCACTGTTGCCCAGGGAACCGGGAGCGGTGGGAACCAGCCACTGGCTTCAGCATGTTTCAATAAAGTTGCTGTGCTGGGAGCTGCTTAATCAAAGGCCTGTGTTATGGGCTCATTAGTGTGGTCCACCACAGGGGCCAGCTCACAGGGGAGCCCCCAGGAAGGCTGGCTGGGGCCCCGCTCCCCAGGCACACACCCTCACTCGCTAAGGGGTTTCTCAGGCCCTTTCCAAGAAGTCCTAGGACACCCTCTGCCCTGCCCCCAGCCAGTGCTCAGCCAGGGAGCCAACACCCGCACCAAGTCTCCTTTCCACCCCCCAGCAGTCAGCATTTCCTGCAGCTGACTGCCAGCCTGCACTCCCTTTAGGGTCTTGCCACTGTGGTCACAGGCAGCTCCCTGGTTTGTGGGAACCTGGGCCTGTAATTACCTCTAGGTCTCCTCCTGGGGCTGGCTGTCTCCCTGGGAGTCTGCAGGACCTCCTAGAGGCCTGGGATTAGGCTTGTCACCAGTGAAGGCAAGAGACCCAGCCTTCTGTTTTCTTGGCTGCTGCTTGAAGCTCCCTGTTGGTCCCAGCTGAATTGGGAGGGGCCGGGATGACTTTCTTGCATCAGCCTTCAACAGCCTTGGAAGCCCTCTTTCCCAGCCTTGGCACCTTGTGCTGGCTGCCGGCCCGGGCCTGGTATCTCTTGGGGAAAAAGCATGGCAAATATACCCCACATGGGAGGAGAGTGACAAAGGAGAGGCTGAGAGGGAAAGGTAGAAGGTGAGGGAGGCTGGGCCCTTTCTGGAGCTTGCGGAGTATCCCCAGACAGGCCTCCACACTCGCCTCCTCCTGGGCCTGCACCTGTTCTCCGTGCCGCTTCTCTCCCCAGTCTCCGCAGCCCCGAGAAGTCAGGGCTCCAGCGCACAAAGGCAGGGCCATTGGCAGCCCCAGGCTGAGTGCGGTGGGCACTCCCTGCTTCCTGGAGAAGCTGGAGAGGCAGGAATCCTGCTCTGATTCCATAGGCTTCTCAATGTCCAGAGGTCGACACCTTGACTCCCTCTGCCCTACCATCTGCTGCTGTCACCCTCGGGGTGAGCGGGGAAGCCTATCAGCCAGCTCCCGAGCTCCACAGGCAGGCCCTCAGACGCTGGCGGCGGCCTGCCGGCACCCCCGCCTGCACCTTTCCCCAGCATTCCTCCTCCCAGTGGCTTTCACAAGCCCTCTCCCTGGAGCCCGTCATCACCATGCTGTTAGTGCTGCGAGTGGGAGCCTGGCCCAGAGCTGAGTCGTTCGTCCGTCCCCAGCCAGGATTGATCTGAAGGGGGAGAAGTTGGCCCCGGAGGTTATAGAGGGGTCACATTACCAAATATGAGAAATATTTTTTCGTGCCCTGCAGTGCTTTGTCAGCTGTGTGGTGTCTGACAGCTCACCCTGGCGGTGCCCCCATTCCCTGCCAGCCCTGATGAGAGGCCCCAGGCTTGGGAGAAGACACCCAGCAGCTTCTCTGAGTGGGCCCCACGCTCCAGGCCAGCCTTGGGGACTCACTGCTGGGCTCTCCTCCTCTGACTCACCACTGTCCTGAGGACAAGCTCCTGCCTTTTCCTGTCCCTGTCCACCCACTTGGACAAACGAAAGACACCTGGGAATCCCTGGCCCAGGCCCTGGGCAGCCTCTTTTCGGTGGCTCTACTGCTTCTGCATCCGCTGGTAAACCTGGCCTCAGCCTGTGCTCTCTGGAAGCCTTTGCATGGACTGCCATGGTAGCCTGCCTCGTCCAGGAGGATGCCCAATAGGGTGCAAATCCCTGCACCAGGCCCCGGGGAGTGTGCCACCCTCCTTTGCGGGGGAGGCCTGTGACGATGGCCCGCTGTGCCCGCACCAGCCAGCAGCCGCAGCAGGAGGAGTCCGAGCCTGCCCGTGGCCACCGGAGCCAACTGCTCACCACCCACCACGAACAGGAGATGAGTGAGGCCTCGCTGAGCTGCCGCCACTGCAGCCTCCCTGTCCTGAGCCTGGGGAGTCCCCCGGCTGTTTTCTGGCTCGGGTCTGGCCCGCAGGGTGAGGGGGATGCAGACTGGACCGCTTCCTCATCCCTGCCTCCTCCACCGCCATCGAAGGTGCCAGAGCAGCTCCTTGGCAGGCCCCACCCTGTAAACAGCACATTTCCTTCCCTCAGAGAAGGAAAGGGAGGGAAAAAGAAAGCCAAACTTGTTGGGAAGCAAGAACAACGTGTCAACACGAAATGCAAACAAGGCCCCAGACAAAAGTGTGGATTGTCATACCAAGGGGAAGGAGGGGGTATTGTCAGCACTGTTTGCAGACTCAGAAATATCATTGACCACAGACATTTGAATCAGATCTATAACATCTGAGCTTCTGCCTGCAGCATAGCTGGGCCTGCCCAGGACAGGCACTGACGAAAGATCACTTTCTGAGTTCCTTTTGGAACTTGCTGGGGCCCGGGGAATTGGGAAGTTGTTGACAGTCCTCCCTCCTCACCAACCAGCCAGGCTGTCCTAAGGTACCTGGTGTGAGCACCTTGGACTAAGTTGCTGGCCTAGATTCCAAGCCCCCTCCCTGAGCAAGGGTGGCGGCGGGAGCTGCAGCCAGCAGCTCGCCCCTGTTGGTTAAGCCTGTGTCCAAACTCCTTTCCCCTGTGAGCCTGAGTATTTCCCAGCACTACTCCTACCAGGAGCTCCTGGGAGGCCTTTTAAAAATGCACATGCCTTGGCCTTGCCCAGGATATTCTGATTCAGGAGGTCTGGATGGGGCCTAGTTACTGTATTTTCAAAAATTTCCCAGGGGAGTTTGGTTGGCTTTCCCCTCCCATAAGGGAATCTCTTCCTTCCCAGGACCTTTTGTGCACAAACATCAGCATTTTATGCCCAGCTCTTGGTGAGTGCAGACATCAATGACTGCTATTTTATTTCTCATTGTTATTATTTCTACTGTTTTCTCGACTAGAGTAACTGTGTGCGTTCTCCAGCCAGCCTGGAAATTTGCCCTGCTGTCCCCACTTGGAAACCGTCTTTGGGCATGGTCTGCCTTCCTTTCCAGCTGGCCACCTTGGTTTTTGAGCAGCTGTATGTCTATGACACTCAGGGTTCCAGTCCTTTTGAGCTGAGTTGCTGGCCAGGAGATACGTGGCTGGTTGGGGTTGGGACTTGGTTTTCCAAACCATTGGTCAAAGCCAAAGTCATCTTCATCTCCCCATTCAGAGCAGAGAGAGGAGTCAGCACGAGGCTTCCAGAATTGGGGTACCTTTCCCAGGCAGGAAAAGAGCATCCTCTACTACCCTGAGGTCAGATCACTATTCTTTTTTTCTTTTTTTTTTCTTTTTTAATACTTATTTTTAGAGAAAGAGGAAGAGAGGAAGAGAAATGTTAATTGGTTGCCTCTAGCGTGCCTCCAACTGGGAACCAGCCTGCAACCCAGGCATGTGCCCTGACTGGGAATTAAGTGGCAGCCCTTTGGTTCGCAGGCCGGCACACAATCCACTGAGCCGCACCAGCCAGGGCAGATCACCAGTCTTTTACAGTCCAGGAGACTTGTCTCCTCTTGACACCTGCTTGTCTACAAAATGGAGATGATAGTTCCCTCCCTTGTGGGACTGCCATGAAGACTCAGTGAAACGATACAGGCCAAACACCAAGCCCAGTGCCTGGCACACAGAGGAGGCACTGCTCCTGCTCTTGGCGGTGTTATCATTACTACTGTCATTGTCATAACCATTCCTGTTATTATTTGTGGCAGAGCCAGGGAGCTCCACGGGGACCCAGTGAGCTCCAAAAACCCCGAGCCCCAGAATTTCTCAGGCTTTTCCCACAGTTGTATCACAACGGGGAGTCTGTTACTCGTGAGAGCTCCCAGGAGCCGCTCCATCATAGCTGTCTATCTCCAGTGTCCTGTTGATAAGATCTGTTAACATTCTCAGCTCCGGGTCTGAAATATACAAAGAACAGGGCCTGTTTGTTGAATTCAAGCGTCTAAGGTTTAACTCCCAAAGGAAATTAAATTAGGTGCCTGGAGCTATGACAGTCTGTCGTGTTTCTTTGCAGGGAATGTCACCCTTAATATCATGCAGATCTCATGTATAATTTTACCCCCTTTAGTTTCTTTAAAATAATTTGAAGTTTCCAGCAGGAACCAGCAAATCGCCAAAAGTGAAGATGGACTAGCGACTAGGGCTTGTCCCCCTTTTTTGGTCCTGCCGTCCCCTCCCCCAGCTGAGTACTGAGTGAGTCCACACACAGATGGCACCCTGCACCCTTGGTGGTAGTTCTACTAAGAACCGCCATAACTCACCCTCTTCACCACCCATTCCAGACCTTTGTCAGAGGCCCTAACTGCAGGCCGAACTCGCGGCAGTGGGGTTATCTTTACTGTTGTTGAGAAACGGCTCCTCGGAGTCTCGCTGGGTGGCCGCAGTCCCTGTGAGCCCTCCCCCCGCCTCGTCTCACCCCAAGAACTAGTTACAGTCCCAGACCTATTTACCTCTCTGGCAGAAAAGTCTCTCCCTCCAAGTTATTTGTGGGTTAGAAATCAGCCCAGCCTGGCCCAGACTGGAGCCATTGTAATGTAATTGGGTTTTAGGTATGCCTGTGTTTGTGCTAGCATTTGAAGAGATGGCAGCAAGTCCCGGAAATGCCAAAAATATGAATGTGACTTTTGTACTACTCAAGCAGACTGGTGATAACTGGTGGAGAAGCTGGACTTGGCTGGGGGCAGGGGGAGGCCATGGGCTAAGAAGAGGAGGAGGAGCGAAACCCCTGTGGGAGGATCAGTGTGTGACCGGGAACTGGTCACTGGAGCCTGTGAGAGGAAGTCAGCTAGTCCCACCGTGGCAACTTGGAGGAAGAACAGGGTGGGAGGGTCCTCAGGCAGGCATTTCCCTACACCCAATTTGCCTGTCTGAACCTTGTCTCTATCCTCACTTGAGGCCTGAGCTCCCCAAACAGAAACTTGAGGGAGGAGATGCGGGCCGGTGGTTGGAGCTGTTTTGTCTCTGGCTGTGGGCTTGCAGCCTGGGAAGGAGACGTCCTTTGGCTCCCTGTCAACCAAGTGTGGGAGAGTGTCCAGGTGGGGAATGGATTTTCTTCATTCCCAGGTCCCTGGGGCTCCGCCCAGGGCTGGGCCCAGCAGAGGCACCTGGGGATGCTATGGAATCGAGTAGATTGCTGGGCAGATGAGTGGAAGAATAAGCACATGCATAAAAGTCACAGGGGTAAGAGTTCAGGATATGGCCTTGTCTCAGCCACTCACAAGCTGTGTGGTGTTAGGCAAATTACATAACCTGTCGGCACCTCGGGTTCCTCGTCTGCAAGGAGGCTGAGGAGCTGCGATGATGAGCGTTTAGCAGGCTGCCTGGTGTGGTGGTTGCTGGTGTGTTCACCTGGGGTGATTTTCTCCTGTTCCTGGCTCCCCCCTCCACCCCATCAGTGTCCTTCCTTTGGAGTCCTCCACTCTCCGAGGGCCCTGGTGACCCTGCTGCTTTTCTCTGCCATCTCACTTCACCTCACAAGCAGACTACATTCCAAACGGTGGAACTTCTGTTCTTATCAGAGTGTACAACTCCCAGGGGAAACCTGATAGGTATTTTCTCAAGTTCTTGATCCCCATCCTTCTCATAGGGGGTTTTCTCTCAGCAGAGCCCTTCACTGGCCTCTTCACCCCTTGTCTTTCTCCCTCCACGCCCCGCCCAGGGCATTCAAACTTTGCTGGAGGAGGCGAAGCAGAGGCAGCTAGAGCCACAGCCTGGGGTGCAGAGGCCAGGAGGCCCCATGGGCTAGCGCAGGAAGGAGGGGGAATGGAGAAAGGGGTCAGCTTGGGAAGAGGAAAGACATCCTCACCCGGGTCTGGTGTGGTGCAGGCCTGGGTGAACTTGGCCTGGCTCTGCAGAGCCCGCGCGAGCAGAGGAGCCGGCTGGAAACGTGGCCCGTCAGGCCGAGGAAGGCCTGAGAGAGTGCCCTTGGACGCTCCCGTGGGCTGTGAAACGTCTTTGGGGGATGAGGGTGCTGGTTGTGCTGTCTCAGTAGCGGGGCCAGGCTGCCCTAGGCAGTGCATAAAGTGAGAAGGCCTCAGACTAGAGTGGCAAAGTAGGGCAGCCGGGAGGCGACCTGGAGAGGAGGTTTCTAGAAGGAAGTTTGGAAGAGCTCAGTGGCTGAAGGGGGCTGGCAAGCCGGGGGTTTGGGAGCTTCCAGCCTGAGAGGTTGTGGATGCTGCAAGTGGAAATGGGAGTCAAGAGCCCCTTTCCCATGCGAAAAATGAGAGATTGGTGCATCCAATGTCTCCAGCGCAGACATTCTCCTGTGTACCTTCCGGGGCATTTCCAGATTCCAGACAGGGCTTGTATTCCAAATGCAAACAGATTCTTTTTGTCCTACCAAGTGAGGGCAAGGGGGAACATGTGACCTGGTTGGGCAAGAAGGATGTTGGCAATTGCTCTTCCCTGCCCCTCGGCTTTTGTTTCCCCTCTAGCGCACTGAAACATGCAGGAGGCCCAAACTGCCAAAAGCAGTATTTTCCCACCCATTTCCATATCCCTTCTGGGACCAGCACTTCTGTACCTCCGAATGTCCCCACCTTGCTTCCCCATGGTCCTCGGATGCCCTTCATTCTCCGCCCAAGTTCCTCTGATATTACAGGCGGGTGGTGGGGGCAAGTGATAGTCGAGACAGGCCTGGAGCACTTCCCTCCTTACCTAGAACAGGTCACCGTGGCTCACATCTCCTCCACGTCCAGAAGGTCCAGAGCTCGACAATTGGCAAAAAGACCATAGATTTAAAAAATAAAATAAAAGCCTGCCGTGTGCTTTCTTCCCAGATTCTGTTGACTGAAGAATTTGTAGAGAAAATGTTGGAGGACTTAGAAGATTTGACTTCTCCAGAGGAAGTAAGCATATTTGGTTCTCTCTAACGGAGGGTTTTGGTCACCAGGAGTGTATGTGCGTGTCTCTCTCTTTCTCTCCCTCTCTCATTCTGTCCCTCCCTCCCTCCCTCCTCCTTTCGCTCCCAGTGTAGGGATAAGCTGGAAAGGAGACCCTGGGGATGTTCAAGGGGTTTGTTTCTCTCTGTCTTCCCACCACCCCCAGCCCCCGTAAGGACACCCGGCAGGCTGAATTGCCGGCTCCTGAGAACCTCATTGAAGAGGCAGCCAGGGCCTTCAGGCTAGTACGAGTTCTCCCCAGCCCCTGCTGTTCCCTGGCAGGTTCTGAACAGAAAGCTCATGCCTGCTGCCAGAGAACATTCCACGGGGGAGTTCTGGTGGGCAGCAAGAGACTCCCGCTCTCGCCTCAGGCCACCCAGGAGCCACTCTCCTAACTCCCTTCTCTCGCCATAAGCCTTCCCCTCTTGGTCTGCTTCTTCCAACTCCCACCCAGAGCACGAGGAGCTGGCAGGCCAGGTGGGGGCTTGTGCTTTCCTTGGCTACTCTTCTGGGGTACAGGACTGGAGCCCATAATCCCCTTTGTTTTTCTTCCTCGTTCCCGGCATCCTCACTTGTGGGGACTTACCTCATCCTGGAAAGTCCCTTTCCCTCCCCTGGCCTCCTGCTAAGCAGCACCCCAGTGGGATCGGAGCCTTGCTGGCCTTGGTGCCCTGCAGGTTAGTAGAACATTAGCAGGCTGGCCTCCGGCCTTTGGAGAGTCCATCTGGGCCCTCCCCTGCCTGCGGCAGAAACAGGCCCTTCCCTTGCCCTTTCTGCCAGGAGGTATGTTAGGGGAGAGCTCCTTCACCTCCCAGGGGCCAAGCTTCCAAGCCACAGAGAGGCCAGGCCGGAGCTAGCTGTCCTCCAGTGCTGGAGCCCCCCGCGGCCAGGGCTCCTGTGGCCGCATCAGACAGCGCATGGGGTGGAGGAGGGCGTGCGGGGCGGGACTGTCCTGTCGGGTCTCTGGGTCGGCAGGAACCCCTCAAAGCCTCAGGTCACCCCAAATAGGATAGTGTCTTGTCTATCCTCTGGGATACAGCTTGGTAAATTAACTCATTTATACATTCAGAAGTCACCAAGTCCCCAGTCTGTGCCAGCCAGTCAACCCCCACAAGCCACCGGTCCCTGAGGCCCGGCTCCCATTCAGTCAGGCCAGAGCCAGCTGCCCAGAAGCGCTTCCGGAGAGGCCACGCAGCGCTGGGGTGGCTTGGTGCCAGCCTGCTGTCTGAGCTTGGGTGTTGAGGGGTTGAGAGGGGGACAGTCCAGGCAGGAGGGACAGGAGCCAGGGGAAGCTTAGGAAAGTAGGTCACTAAAAATGACTTTTTTTTTTTCCTTTCCTGTCCGGAGGCTGTCCCCACACCCTGCCCCACTCTCCACTTTAGTCCCGGCTTGGACAGTCCCCCATCAGAGGGAAGGAGAGGGGCCAGCCAAGAAGCATCAGGCCGGTTCACTTCCAGCCGCAGCTCGACGCGGGCTGAAGGCCTGTTCTCCCCTCCTGTCCAGTCTCCACGACTCTCGCCGCGCCCCAGGGCAGCGGGAGTCGTGAAAGGCGGGCCCTGGTTCCGGCAGGGTTCATCTGTGGAGCGCCAGCTGTGCGCCCGAGCACAGTCAGAGTCCAGGCTGTAGAGGGAGTAACGTGTGTCAGCCTCCTCCCCTTACCCCCACTGGAAGCTCTAGAAACAAAACTGTAAGAAAATCAGTGACTCCCTGGATAAGGCAGGAAGACCTAGATCTCTCCTTGACCATCACTGGGACCACTCCGAGGCTCATAACCTGGGACGCAGTGAGATTGAACAAGGGGAAGCAGGGCAGAAGGCTTGTTCCTGTTAGGATGCACCAGACCCAAGAAATCACCTCCAGCCACACTCATTCTGCTCCTCTCCTCCCTCTGAGGCCAAGTCAGGGCCTCCTTCCCTTGGACCCCTTGGCAAAGGCTACGGAAGTCAGGGTTCAGGATCCTTCTGCACTAGCCTTCAAATGCGAAGCCATAGCAGGGACAGGTCTGCAGTTTTAGACCTCAAGGCATTTCTCTGTAGCATCTGCACCCTCCCCCTGCCCCCCATTCTCCAGCCCAAGGGCCTCAGGGAACAGATTCCTTACATGCTTGTGGCCAGAGGCAGAACCAAGGAAGTGAGCTGAAGAGAGGTCAGCACAGTCGAGAAAGAGTTAGAAAACATGCCTCCTCCATCTCCTGGTTAATTATTGGCCTGGGGGCAGGGGGGTACTGAGGGGGAGAAGGGGTCACCGAACTCCAGCAGCTTGACTTCAGCCACCCACCTGGGTCTATCTAGCATTTGAGATTAAAGCCAGGAAACCAGTGGCCTATCAGCCCCGGCGCCCAGGGTTGGGCCTGCGTGAGGGTCCTGGACACTTCGCTAGGCAACCTGCAGAGAAGGTGGTGGGTTCCGCTAACGCGTGCACTCTGGCTCTGTGCTTGCTGCCTCCACAGTTCAAACTTCCCAAGGAGTACAGCTGGCCCGAAAAGAAGCTGAAAGTCTCCATCCTACCCGACGTGGTGTTCGACAGTCCACTGCACTAGCCTGGGCTGGGCCCTGCAGGGGCCAGAGGAGAGCCCGGCTGCTCCCCAGGAACTTCGGTATAACAACTGTGTGAGAGGGACTCCCACCATTAAAAGGCAGGACAAGCGTGAGGATGACTGAGCAGCCACACACCTGCAGCGTGGTGGGACGCCGGGCATGGGCGGCTGACCCCCCCTCGCCTGCAACGCCAGGCCCACGTGGCCAGGCCCTGAGCCCACTGGGCACTGAGCAGGCAAATGCAAGCCTTCACTTTCTGCTGCCGCCACAAGTTCTGGTTTGAGAAGTGACTCCAGACCTTTGATGTGCCCCTAGGTCTCAGGCCTCGTTTCTCGCCTACCCCCTGCCACGCAGCCCAGCAGGAAGGAGGTGGAGCGGCCCTGTGGGTTCAGCACCGAGCTCGGCTCCAGGAAGCCTTGAGTAGTCAGGCTCCTCCCACCACGGAACAATTCCTCTGATCATGTTTGGTTTTGTTCCTCTATTTTTATTTTGTAGAAACTGATGGTATTTTATTGCTCTTCAAAGATGTCCAGAAGCTGTGTATATAATGTTTTTTAAACAAGACTTTATTCGCAGATGAACTTTTGCATTCTCTCAGACAGGGGCCCGGGGCTGTCTTCCCCTGACCCGCCACCAGAGACGGCGCCAGTGGCTCACCCGCCAGCCCAGGGCCCAGAGGAGCCCGCTTCAGAGAGAGGCTTTTCTCCCAGGTTGGCCGGCGGAGCCCAGGGCAGAGAACTGAGACGCCCCCCATGCGGCCCTGAGCCCAGTTCAGCTGGGGCCAAGCAGGGATGCTGCTGGTCCCCAAGTGGCCTGGGCCCCACAAATTCAAGGACCATCGGGTCTCAGAGACATGGTGGCCTCAGCCTCATCTTCCAGGCCTTTCCCACCCAGCCAGGCTTGCCTGGGAGAGGGTGAGGCCCAGCACCTCACAGATCACCCCCGCCTGCCACTCAGGGCCTGGGTCTCCAGCTCTTTGACCACTCTGATCCCATTTCCTCATTCCCCTGGGCCTCCCAGCCTCCAGGCTGCAGGAGTCTGGCTTATTAAAAACAGAGAAATTAACGTCTCGACATGTCTATAACGTTGATTTTGCAAACACCGCACTCTACTGCCCTCCCATCCATCCTCCCTGACCCATTCATGTCTCATCTTCCATTCTCCATACTTGTCCTGCATCTGGGCCTCTCATGGTCCTTGGTCCCTTGCCTGAAAACTGCAATTCTTATGACCTTCCTCCCAGAAGCCCTGTGGTTTGGGGGTTCCTCTTGGGTTATCTCCTACTTCTGCCCAGGAATCAACAAGCCCCCTTCGTACCCTCTTACTCCCAAGTCTAGGGACCACTATTTCAGGATCATCTTTCAGGCCTGTCCAAAGCAAAGCCATTTTGTCTGTCAGGGACCATGACCTTCCCTGCCTGCATGGCCACACACAGGCACCACCAGGAGGCCCACAGGTGCAGGGCCCTGCTGATGACAGATCCAGCCAAAGAGCTGCCTCCACGGGCCATAAAGGCTGTGGCCGGGCTCCCCAGGGAACAGTAGCTGGACTTCCGAGGGACCTTGGTCCTTCTCTGCACACACCCTCAGGGCCACCTGGTTAACTCCATCAAACTCGGAGCTGCAAGGCAGATAGGCCTGGAGTGGCAGGGGAGACAGGCTTCCGGCTGCCAGCAGCCGTGTGGGAACCCTCTGGACCTGACGCTGGCAGCCGCTGTGCCTTGCCTGAGAATTTTTCAGAAGGACATTTCCTGGCTTTCGCCCACCGCAGCACCCCTGCCTTTGAAGCTCTCGTCTTCTGACGTTTTGTGGCCAGAGAGGTGCCCTGAGCTTTCCTCCTGCCCTTGCTCCCCCCCACCTGCCTCTCCACCAATCCTTTCTTTCTGGGGCCCTACCTCCACCTGCCTGGTTTGGCAGCAGGGAGGGGGGTATCTTCTGAACTAAGATTTGTCATCAGTATGGGAGGCAGGAGGGAAGTAGGTGAGCTCTGAACGCTGAGCCCATGAAGCCTGTGATCCCATTCCTGTGCTACGATGTAAGGAACCTCCAAGGTCACGCCGGGGCCAGGCCTCCACTTCCTTCCCCTGCGGTGCACCGGCTGCAGGGCAGTACCTAGACACCTGCTGCCTCTGACCAGACCTCCTTTCCCTTGTTCAGTGGAGTCTTCCCAGTGGTTGTTCTGGGAGGGGGTCTCCACTGAGCTGGCTGATGAGAGGGAACCCTCACTGCGAAATAAGCGAGGCGACCACGTCCTGTGCCCAGTGCAGCACCCAAAGCGTGGTGGGTGCTCACTAAGTGTATCCCTTCTTTCCCTGCCTGCAGCCCTTTGGCAGCCCTGACCTCGCAGCGAGCGGGGAGGTAAGGGGCTTCCTTCCCTGATCTGCCTCTTCCACTGGCTTCCTTGAGGTTCACCCAGTCCCACCCCTCCCCCCAGGTCCCTGGTGCTAGGAAGAGGCTCCCCAGCGTTGTTTGCCTGCTATATGAGACCAATCCTGTGGCTCCTCAGGTCCAGTACGGGCTGCGGGAGGACCACAGACCCAGCTGCCATCCGGAGGGGTGGAGAGGCTTGTGCAAGGTCTCAGGTCTGGCCTGGGAGCTGGTACTTCTTCCTGCCCTTCTCTTCCTCTTCCAAAGGCCGGGCTCCAGGGCAGGGTCTGGGAAGCCACGGGGAGCTTAAAAGGGCTAGAGTGTTTTTAAAAGATGAACACAGAGTCTTGGGACTGGGTTTTAAGATTGACTTGAGAGCAGGGAAAAACCCTGAAAGTTGGTGCCCCTATGGGGCAGACCAGTAAAGAAATCCCTTGACTATTTTTTTTTATCTGGTTGTCTTTCCTCTCTGGCTTCCAGGGCCTCCGTGCCAGGCGAGGTACCTGGGTCGCTGTAGAGAGAGCCCTCCTTTTGTACAAGTACCTGAATGCTGCAATGAGCAGACTTTTGTAAAAAATTTTTATTAGTTTCTAATGTCAATGGCGACTCAGTTCCTAGGGGCTGCAGCCAGCCAGGAACTTTTGTAAGAATTTTGGGTGACTGACTTAGATATTTCCTTCTTGCCCCCTGTCCCTCCGTGTAATCTAAGTGCATTAAACGTATTTGCAGAAATTCTGGGTCTTGTGCTCCTTTCTGGCTGGGAGTAGGGGAGCCAGAAGCCTGGCGCCCAGGTAGAGGGGGTGGATTGGACTTGGCCATTTAGAAGCTGGGGCGGGGAAAGGTCCCAAAGACTGTTTGGGGGAGTGGAGGGGGTGCCAAGGAGCAGGTTCCGGCAGCTGGTGATGTTTCAGTCATGCAGAAATGACTGCAGGGACAGTCTCTCTTTTACTTGGTTTTGAATTCGTCTAAAGTCAAGGGAGTAGGAGCATGGAACACAGTCTGGAAAGAGAAATGGGTGGGTAAGGAACCTTCATTCCTCTCCTACCTTCCTCTCCCCCGAAAAACCCTTTCCCCTTGGGAAGATGAGCCTTCCTCACCTGCCGCTTGGAGTCCTTGCCCCCACTGCCAGCTCAGGCCAAGAGAGGCCGCCCCCCTCACTGCTTCTAAATTCAACCTCTTCATCCAGAGCCTGAGGGAGGGAAGGAGAAGCTGCCTGAGAACCGGCACACCCACTGGGCGACACTGCGGCTGGCCCACCCTTCCTATCAACTTCTCTGGGCCTGTCTGCATGAGGAGCTGGGTGGCTCTTCCTTCCCTGGATTTCCCCGCTCTGCTCTCTCCAGAGCATGGTGAAGAAAAACAGAGTTCAATGCCCGTGGGGGAGAAACAGCCTGGGAACTCACAGGCAGGCGAGAGGGGTCAGCACTGAGACAGAGTTCCTGGGACCCGCAGGACTGCTCTGGGTCCCCACGCATTCTTCCCTCTCCTGCTAGGCCTGACCATCTGTCCCGAGGAGTAGCCACACCTTTTCTCCTGGCCTTCGGGTGGGTTGGAGCTGTAGCACCTGGGGATTCTCCTGGGGCAGGTGGCTGAGGTCCTGGGGGCATGGAAGAGGGGAGGAGGAAGGGTGTCAGCCCCTGTCAAGGGACTATCAGCCCCCTGCCCTGCCTTCTGTGAGAACTAGCTGTACCTGGGGACCTTACCCAGGAGGAAGTGGGCACTCCCCCTTGGCCCGTGACTCCCTCCTGAACTGTGGCGGGCCCCTGGAGCAGGGGGCAGGTCCCGTCTGGGCCTGCAGCCCCTGTGGCAGTCAAAGCAGGGCACTGGGGGGGTCTGGAGCCAGGCTAACAATCCCAGATGGCCCAGGCCGTCCCCCTCCCCCTTTCTCCACGGAGCCTGGGGGGCAGAGGGAGGAGGCGCTTATCTAATCCTCCTCATCTGACTGGCCTAGAGGGACCCAGGGTCAGGGTGAGGTTCTTGCTCCAAAGAGTACAGAATAGCAAGGTCCTGTGCTTAGGTGATTCCAGGACACAGGGCTAGACTGGGGTTGTTTTTGGAAAGAGAAGGGTTCCTAGGGGTGGGGGGTTTAAAGGAGCCCTGACTGGGGTGGGGAGGGCACAGACTTCAGGGCCAGGGCCTGGGGAGCCTGAGGGATTTGCCAAACTGGCCTGACGAGAAGGAGGATGCATGCTGAAAGTGACTCAACCCAGCCTGCAGAGGAGACAGCTGCAGGCTGCGGAGGGGGAGCAGGTGGGGAGGCCGGGTGGGGGGAGGGGAGGGGTTTGCTGGGCAAGAGAGTGTCCCAAGACTGTAGGGGTAGGTCAGGGTGTGGTCAGGGAGGGGCAACCATCTCTAGGCCCCTCTATGGAGGCGTGATGGGGCTGACCCAGTCCCTGCTCCCCTCCTCCACGCCAGGAGGCCTTTGAGGGAGAGCTAAGGGCAGTATGGAGGAGGGAGCAAGATGACGCTGCTGGGTGTCCACGGGTTGTGTGACATAGCTCTGTGAGTAACCTGAGGGGCAAGGGAAACTGAGGGTTGTGATGAGAGTTGCGGCCTTATTGGGGCCAGAGAACTGAGGGAAGTGACGCCTCCCCTTCTTTGTTTTTCCAATCTCACCCACTGCCAGCCTGTACCCTTCTCAGTACTGAGAACCCTGAAGGGAAGGATAATGGACCTTGAGGGTCGCAGCCTTTATAAGACAGAGAAGGCACCCTGTGCATTGATGAGCTATGATACTACTGTGGGAAGGGTAAGAACTAGAAAATATGTTCATTCACTTGTTCTTTTAACAAACCTATAGTGGGCCCTCTGCTATGTCCCGGGAGGCTGGCCACAGTGTGGGCCTTAAGGAGCTCATAGTGCAGTGAGGGAAAAGAGACAAGGGACACTTACGAGGAAGAGCCATAAAAGAGGAAGGAGGGAGCTGCTTTTCATCCTACTCCAGCCTCAGCAATTATTGTCAGTGTGACTAAGACAGGCTACCCTGCGCCTCAGTCTCTTCATCTGTAAATGGGTGCTTGCTTCATAGAGTTTTTGCAAGGATTATATGAGATAATGCTCACAAGATGCCTGGCACATAGTAGTTGCTCAATTAGTGTTAACCCTTTATTAAAGGGCTGTGCTGGGTCATGCACACAAAGGTGCCCAACCCAATCTAGGGAGATTTTTAAAAGGCTTCTAGAAAGAAATGACATTTAAATCAAAACCTGAAGGATGCTGGAGGGTAAACTGAGCAAAAGAATAGAAGCTTTACTTTCAAGAGCTCTGCAGGCAGGCAGAACAAGGGCAAAGGCCCCAAAGCCCTTTCGAGAACTATAGAGTCAAAATTGCCTAGAGTATAAGGTTTACGAGGCATCAAGCTTTCATTTTAGAACCATCTCTCTGCCTGCTGGATGGAGAGCGTTTTGAAAGAGAGTGAGATTGGAAGCAAGGTGACCAGTGAAGCCTGGAGGAGGGTAGAAGTAGTAGGGATGGAGAAAATACGATTCATCCAATGAGTCAACAAATACTAATATTGAGTACTAACTATGTGCTAGGTTCCATACGAGGTACCAGGGAGAGAGCACAAAGAAAGCCTCTCCCTTCACAGGTCTTATATTTTAGTGATGGGAGATGGATAACATTTTAAAAAAATACAATACATAGTACATGAAGACGTGCTATGGAGGAAAAACAAAGCAGAGAAGAGATAGGTATTGGGGGAGGGGTTTTATTAGGGAAGGCCTTACCGCTTAGAAGACATTTGAACAAAGACTCTCCATAACAGAAAGAAGTGTGCAACAGGGATATCTGGGGGAAGAATAGTTCAGGCAAAGCAAAGGGCAACTAACTACAGTAGGTGTATTTGAGGAACAACAGAGAAGTCAGTGTGGTGGGAACAGAACGGGAGACAGGGAGTGATGGGGGGTTACTTACACAGAGGCCAGACTGTACAGGACCTTCCAGGTAATGAGAAAACTTCGATTTTTATGCTGGTTGAAGTGGGAAGCCATTGGAAGATTTTGAGCAGAGAATTGACATAATCTGATTTATATTTTAAAAGAATTACTCTGACTTCTCTGTTGGGAACTGACTCCAGGAGGTAAGGGCAGAAGCAGCGAGAGTCGTTAGGACCTCCTGAAATAATCCAGGCAGGAGATTATAATCAAGTATGGTAGTGAGATGCTAAGAAGTAGTCAAGGTTTGCTGAAAGGTTGGTTGGCCATGGGATGTTTGCTGAGAAGCAGAGGTCTGCAGCAAGAACAGGCTTAGCGGCAGCAGAAATCAGTACAGCTTTAGACATGTTGAGTTTGGGATGTTCATTGGACCTACAAGTGAAGATGTTAAGTGAGCAACCAGTAAACAAGTAAATTATCAGAGAGCTATATAAGAGTAGGATCTATAGGACCTGAAGACTGATTAAGTGGATGAGAGAGGTGAGAGGAAGATGTCAAGGTTGCCTCCCTAACCCTTAGCTTAGTAACTAAGTGGCTGACATGTCCACTGACTGAGATGGGGATCACAGTGGAGGGAGAACAGGCTAGAATGTGAAAAGGATAAAGAGTTTAGTTTCCAATAAATTGAATTCAAGCTGCTTGTGGGGCGTCTGAGTGGAGAGCATAAGTGGTGGCAACTAGGAGGGTGAGGACCCGGGCTGGAGATACTGCCCGGGCAGTCATCGGCATTATACAGTAATAAAGCCTTAGGAGTAAATGAAACGCCCCAGGGAACGGGTATAGATTAGTAAGAGAAGAAAATGAAGGGCCGGATTCTGAGAACCACTGGCATTTATGAGATGGAAATTAGAGAAGCCTGTGGTTAGAGAGATAGAACCAGAAGAGTATGATGTCTTAGAAGTCAAGAGGAGCAGTCTAGAAAGGTGAGAAATGAAAGGAATCCTTTAGAATCATTATCCAGGAGGTCATTGGTGAGGAGGCCACACAAGGACCTTCTGCTTCAAGCTAGACCTTGTTTCTTTGCACCATCTTCAGAGTATGAAATTAAGGACTATGGCTTGAAAACCATTTTCTCCTTGTTCATTCAGACATACATGCATTCATTCATTTTTCGTTTGTTCAGCACGTGAGGGGATGCAAAGTGCTAAAGACACAGGCTCTATCCATGAAGGGCCTGCATTAGCTCCCCATGAGGCATAAGGAGATGGAGGCTCTGAAGCAGAGGAACCTTCTGGTTTTATGGAAGGATCAGCAGCCTCCCACCCTGGGTCATGCTGAACTGGATTTGAATTTGTCCTACCATTTAGCACATAACTACTGATGACTTTGACATCCGTAGTCTCCAGCACAGCCCTCCCCCTTGTATGTACCATTGCCTCCTCAACATTTCCACTGGGATATCTGAGTCAATCAAACTTAGAACTTCTGAAAATCTCCCCACCCA